ATTCCTTAGATGCCTCCTCGACCACACGACAGAGAGGCCAGTGGCTCTAGCTCCGCTCCACAGCCACCGCAGATAGATCCAGCTCTTCTTGCAGTACTTGAACGGATGAGACAGGACTAGGCACACTAGGCACAGGAGACAGCAGCTGCACTTGCACATGTTTAGGCTCGATAGGACAAGTTCTAGAGGAAGCAGCAGGCCATGCAGCAACAGCAGCTCATGATGCAGCAGCAGTTACTTGGGTTCATGTAGCACGTTTTCTCTGCTATTGGGGCCGCTCCTCCATAGACTATACCTCAGATAGGCCGAGGGTCGGGGAGATTCTTCGACACCACTTTTTCTATGACTCTAGTCATGGTGGACTTGACCCAAAGGTGGGCTTTAGAGTCAAAAACAGCCAGCTACTTAGTTTGCTTCACCTACACAGAGGCGGTGTCCCTAGTGGTTTGCTTGGCTAGTGATAGCCTGTTTGGGTCCTCACTTCACTCCCATTGTTACAGAGGCTTCTCCGCCTCAGAGCTCCTCGGTGCTAGTGGGTGCTACACACCCTAGTATCCGAGGAGTCTTGTTGCGACATTCAGTGAGCTTACAGGGAAGCCTACACCACCAGATGCTCAAGCGTTGTGAGTCCCCTATTCCTTAGATGCCTCCTCGACCTACCACTAGATTGCTCCCATCGCAGATTCTTCTGATGGGACTACAGAGATGCTCCCATCGTCATTGCATCATCGTCATGAGCCATCGCCACAGTGATACCTCTAGAGTCATAGGCCACGCCACCTACTGAGGTGAGTGTGTGGTCCTAGAGCATACCCAAACCACTTGACTTCACTTCTTCTTCCAGCTCCTCGATCAGTGAGGCGCTCATAGAGCTCTTGTTGTCGAGGATGTTGCGATAGTTCTAGATTTCTCACCGTACCTCAGATGCTCCCATCGTCTGCACATCATGCCATCGCCCCTTAGCCCACACCGTCCGACCCTTAGGTTTTGGTGCTTGACGCCAAAGGGGGAGAGGGATCGAGTATGTTAGATCTAGGGAGAGCGTTATATCTAGGGGGAGCATATGGCTTATTTCTTTTGGCTCTTTATGTGTGATACATTATGCATTCACGTTTACTTTCATGCATTGAACTACATTCGTGTGATTGTGATACTTATGTGACATGTGTGCTCTCTACTTTGATTTATATATATGTCATGTCACTTGGTTATGCTCATTTGCCTTGCTTCCACGTTTTACTCCGATTGAAATGAGCTTTATTTCTTATACTTATGCTAATTTCATATCTATTGAGTACACCATGTTGGCTTAGGTCATATAAGCATGTTTAACTCCTTTGCTCTTATTGTCAAAAGCTTATATGAACCAAGCATGTTAAAACATCATCTCTTTTACATACTCGAGGTTGTATTATCATCAATCACTAAAAAGGGAAAGATTGAAAGCATCTAGGCCCCTAGTTGGGTTTCGGTGATTAATGACAATACGATATTACTATGACTAATGTGTGTTTTGCAGAGGTAATTTAAGTTAGGTTATAGTAATGGAAATTGATTGGGCAATCATGGTTGTCATGCCCCTACGATGGAAATCGTTTTGGTTTTCAAAGGATGGACGATAAGGTTAAGGATGGACTAGTTCTAAGTGTCGTTTGGTGTTGAAGAGACACTTAGAGTAGTTTATGGCTTTGTTCTTTCCTTTGGCCATACTATTAAGGGGGGTATGGACTAATAGCTTGACCTAGGTGAGTCTAGTGAGTTAGGTGTGGTGCACACTTATCAAATCTAGCACTAGATAGCTCTAGACTAGCCCTAAGATCAATTGGAACAAACTTCATTCACATATGATTTCGAGTTGAAAGTGAATGGAGGGTCAAATGACTGACCGGACGCTGGTCTGGTTGTGATCGGACGCTTAAGGGTGAGTCCGGTCAGTTCACTTGATCAACTGGAGCCATCTGGTTGCGACCGGACACTGAGTGAAAAGTGATCGAACGCTGGGTGCTAGAGTCCAGTCAACTCCAGAGAGGTTCCAGAGAGGGATATTCCTGATCGAACGCATCTGGTCACTACTGACTGAACGCTGGTCAGGATCCGGTAACTGACCGGACGCTGAACAGCGAAGTGACCGGACTCTGGGTGCCAGCGGCCGATCAACACCACTAAGGTTCTAGAGAGCAGTTTTCGTGACCGAAAGCGTCCGGTCTGACCGGACGTAGGTCAGAGTCCGGTCAGAACTTAACGGCTCTTTCTAACACAGTGGCGGGGATAACTGACCGGAGCGTCCGATCACCCCGCAGAGTGATGACTCAACCTCCAAACGTTATGTTTTGAATAAGGGGGTATAAATACTTACTCCACTCATCCAAGGGAGGTCTCTTGCCCATTTGTTCAGCTGAGAAACACCCTTAAGAGTGCAAAGGAGAGCAAGAGCCTAGTGAGGTGATTGAGATTTAAGAATCCAAGATTAAGACCTCGTTAGTATAAGGAGAGTAGCAAGTGTGCATCCACCCTTCTCATTAGGCTTATCGTGGTCAAGTGAGAGTTTGTGCTTGTTACTCTTGGTGATCGCCATCACTTAGATGGCTTGGTGGTGATTGGGAGTTTGGTGATCATCCGATGGATCTTGTGGATGACCTAACTCAAGTTGTGAGCGGTTGTGGGCGATTCACCGCGATAGAGTATCGAAGAATCAGCCTGTAGAGAGCACTTGATCCTTGCGCGGATCAAGGGGGAGCTACACCCTTACGCGGGTGCTCCAACGAGGACTAATAGGGAGTGGTGACTTTCTGATACCTCGGTAAAACATCGCCGCGTTCCTTCTCCTCTCTTTACTTTAAGCATTTACATTTGAGTAATTCATTTCTTGTCTTTACATTCTTAGAATTGCCATGCTAGAGTAGGATTGCAACATAGGTGCAAAACTTTTATGCGGTAGAACAATATGAACACATTCTAGGCACAAGGGGTGAAGTGGGCTAAGTATAGGGCTTAATTATTGCAAAGAATTTTAGAATTAGCCCAATTCACCCCCTCTCTTAGGCATCTTGACCCTTTCATGCTCCATGTTGTTCGGATCAGGGTGCTGATCTTGGGCAGCACGTCTGGGGTCTTGATATGCGCATGTCAGATGACGTCGGCAAGCTTTTAGGCTTCTTTTCTTTGACCCTGCTACAATATTCATTCTTTATCTTTCAGCAGGCTCGGAGACTAAGTGGCTACACTTCACCTGACGGTGAATGTAGTGCTTATTTCTTGATTTACCCTCCTTATTGATGGAGTCTAAGTGGCTACACTTCTCCTAAGTGGAAGAATTTTTAAATTTCATCTTGAGCCCCTTACATCCTTCTGGCAAACCTTATTTGGCTAAGTCCGAGGTCTTCTAACCAGTTAAATTGGTCGACATTGACTTTCACCATCCAGGTCACCAGTTTAACTGGTCGGCTTCGACTTTCACCGCTCAGATCATCAGCAAACCTGATCGGTTTCGTGTTAAACTGCTTGGACTTGTTCAAGACAGCGCTGCTCAAAGGATACAAGGCGCTCGAGGACTAGCTGTGGAGGGTATAAGCCCAGATACCTATGGCAATGGACATGGGCCGCACCACCAGGGGAGGTCCAGCCCATAAGATCATGTCCTACGGTGCTCGGCTCTGGTCGACGTGCACCGCAAGGCAATCAGAAGAATCTTGAAGATAGAAAAAGATCTGTTCGGATATGATAGATATCGTATTCCTTGTAAATACTTGCCATATAGCCGAATAGATCTAGATCTAACCGACTTGTAACCCTACCCCAGACTATATAAGGCGGGTAGGGACCCCTTCAAAATCATCTCATATTCAATACAATCAACCAAAGACATAGGACGTAGGGTATTATGTCGATCAGACGGCCTGAACCTATATAAATCTTATGTCTTGTGTCTCTGTTACCATCTGGCTCGTATCACGCGCACCTCCACCGATTCATTTACTACCATGGGTATACCCCTCGGTAGACTGCCGACCAGATTTCGTCGACATTGATTCAGATGGAGAGGGCCAAGACAGGCTCAGATTCAGGTCTTTTAGATCAAAGATATGCACAATCCCATCTTGAAGGTTGGAATGTTGTTTGAGTAAGTTGAGGAGAAGGGCAGTCACAAAATACAGTTTGAGAGAGAGAGTATAACTGAAGATGCCAAGGAATGAGAAGAGGTACCATGCCATCTATGAAGGGGTTGCTCATGGAACCTATATGCATAAGTGGACATATGTGCTAATGATGGATTAATTATGCTTAATAAATTCGTCTCGCGAATTACTGAGGACTTGTATAATTTGTTTTATTATTACTATCAAACACTCCCATATGACACCCCATGTGACACCCGATGTGACACCCCTAAACTTTAACTCTAGATCATTTTTATACATTTTTACGTGCACTTCATCCTTTGTAAGAAGATTTACATCACTTGGCGCTGATACTAACCCCATAATGCAATGTCTTCTATTTTCTAGCTCATATTGCTAAATTGCAGGGAAATGAGCATCATGTTCATACATGATCGATTATTATCTTCCTTAAAGCAACTTCACTAGATTGAACATCTCCTTTGAAGTCTAAAACACTGATAGAAAATTAAGAAAATAAGATTGAAGTTGGCGAGGAAGTGTGCTGTAGCAGATTAAGAGAAATTTCATCTACTTTCTATCCAATAATATATGGGACCTACGTCTCAGTGCCTCAATATTTTTTTTCCTACTCTCCCCTCTTTCCTCATCCCATCTCTCGTCTTGCATTTATCGACGTCCTCCTGGGGGCGCGGCCCGGCAACCCGCCCAGCATCATCACCGTAAGCCGTAACCACCCCCTGCAATTATGCAAATCAGCAAATGGCTAAACACACTTCCAGAACCCTGACTGACCCCGTGACCTCGGAGGGTGGTGGCTTTGCCTAAACCCTCGTCCACCGTCTTCGTCGACGGCCCCCTTAACCTCACCCTAATCCAGCCATGGTGAGCTCGGATCCGGACGGGAGCGGAGGCACGCCGGACGTCTCCGAGCTTTTCTGCCACTACAACTCCCTCTACTTCCGCGATTCCCTCGGCTCGTGCGCCGTCTCATGGGCCGAGGACCCACTACCCAATTGGTGAGTGCCGCCCCCCCTTTCACACATTCGAATGGCATACGGGTTCAAATTCCGGGGTACAAAATTGAGGGTTCGGATGATAGGTTGTCTCTTGGTTGCAAGCTATCCCTTGTTTCATATTTCTTATAACTAGATTTGATACATTGCGATACAAATTGGGGAGAACCTTGCCGTGAATGATTTTTATTTGACCCCTCTGGAAATTGACCAAGACGGGCTAGTCCCTTCGTCTCGTCAATCTACAAATCTCAGCTTCACATCTGGAAAAATCAGGATTCAGGATAACACCTTATTGCTCATTAGAATATTTGGAATACTCAGTTTTCAAAATAATTGCACCCTGAACATAGTATGTGACCTAAGCTCTGCACGTGGCCAACATTGCTCGCCTCTGAAGATTTCATCGGTTTACTTGTTCATTTACTGAATTCTGTTGCTGGAGTGTTGCCATGATGGCATAGGTAGATGCTTTTTTTTATGAGAGGAACAAAGTTTAAGAAGGCGCTAGGCGCTTTCTAGGCGCTGACCCCTAGCCTAGCGCCTAGGCTAGCCTAGGCCAGACTAGGCGTTTCAAGGCGTTTTGCCAATTTAGCGCACAACATTCTACATTCAAGAGTTCAGAGTTCAGAGCATACATTTAGGTTTCAGAGTTGAGTGAGCAAACATTCAGATTTCAGTGACCTATACATCAGACATTCAGTCAATCGAAATCGATAATACATTCAGTCAATCAATAATACATTCAGGCAATCACAAAATATATTCAGGCAATCACAAAAGACAGATTCAGTATCCATCCATTCATTCATTATTCACAGAAGAGAATATATTCAGTATCCATCCATTCATTCAGTATTCACTTGAATCACTTCAGTCATTCAGTATGCAGGGGAGAGGAGCAGGGGAGGGGAGCTTCGAGCAGGGGAGAGGAGCAGGGGGACTGACCTTGGGGGCTGGGGCGGGAGGGGTGCGCCGGCGGGGACGAGCACGACAGGCAGGGACGACCTTCCAGGCGGGGACGAGGACGACCGGCGCCGGCGGGGAGGAGGTCATCCGGCGGGAGGGGAGCGCCCGGCTGGAGGAGCGCGTCCGGCGGGGAGGGGAGCGCCCGGCGGGGATTTTTAAATGGCAGGCGGGAAGTGCATCCTCTCCCTCTTATCCTTCCCGCCTGTTTTCGCGCGGCCAAAGCCAGCTGCGCGCGCGCTTGGCCGTGGCGTCCGCCTCTGCGCGGGAAGTCTTCATGCGCTCGCCCGCTGCGGCAATTTTTTGCGCGCTCGCCCTCTGCGTCCCCTTCCGCGCCGCCTAGCGCCCAGATGTCCGCCTACCCCCATAGGCCAGGCGGGCACCCTTCGACTAGCGACTAGTCGCGCCTAGGCGGAGCCAAGGCGTCGCCTTTTTGAACTTTGGAGAGGAAAGGGACAATAGAGAAAACAGTGTTAGGTCAATTGCATCGATACCTTTTCTCAGAGCTGCACTATTTGAATGGATCAAAAGGTTCGGGACCAAACAACTTACCGACTGTTTATATTGCCAACACATTCTAATATGCTTGTTTTATGACCTGCATTTATTATATTTTGTGGTTGTGTTCGTGGTTTGATCGAAGCATTTAAACTAAGCTCAGACAGCTCTGAGCCCCAAAACTATGATTTTGATGCTGGATCTTGATTGCTTGGGAAGTCAATTTTTTTTTGGGTCTGTGTGTGGAGGGGTGGGTGTGGGGGTTGAGATTTGTCCTGTCATGTTATATAGTGAAGGTCTCTCGAATATCCCCGGTGGTAATTTAGGAATCATCTACCATAAACAATTATTTATTCTCATTGAATTTTCTTTTGAGACACGGTTATGTGATCTTTACATTAGGTTTGTTATAAACACCGGGCATTTTCCCTTCTATTGCTCATTGATCGTTTACAACTTTACATCTTCTCCTTGCATATTTCAGTGGTGTACATGTGTGATTATGATGAATAACATTGACCACTTCCAGTATTTGTTTCCAAAATGTTTCTGCATGGCCTGCCCCTTGATACATGTGCTGTAGCTGTATAATTTGCTTATGGTACATCTTAAAGTCACCGCATAAAATGCAGAACATTAATGCATACGTAGGGTGAATGATCTTAGCATCAGACTACTAATTCTGCACTACAGCTAAATGAATTTCTGAAGTGCAACTTGTGTATTATAAAAAAGGCGTCCAGTCAGAGAGAGCTCCCGCTCTGTCGGGAATCTGGGAAGGTGTGTCGTGTGCAAGCCTTACCTCGCCTGTGTGCAATCTTGAGGAGACCGCGACTCGAACCCGGGACCTTCCGGTCACAGGCGGTAAGACTCTACCGCTTGCACTAGGCCCGCCCTTCTGCAACTTGTGTATTATAATCTGAAATAATTGTATATTGTTTGCCACCCCCAAGTATGTCATTGAAGTACCCATTAGCTGACTTTAGCAGAAGATTGATGTTTTTTGTTTCTTAATTATCTTCCTGCAGTGATGTAAGTACATGTGACTATTATCCTGGAGGCGGTGGCTGTATAATACTTCTTTCGAAATCCTTATGTGGATCTCATAATGGATCTGATCTGAAGAATGCTTTGCTTCATGAGATGATTCATGCCTATATTTGCATCAAAGACAACAACAGTAACCATGGGTAATTGTTCAACAGGACTTTTTTTTTTTAATACGCTTATGAGATTATAATTTCTTTTTGATTGATTTTGAAATTATGAACAAGCAGTGATCATGGTGCAAAATTTCAGAAACTGATGAATACGATCAATTTGAGTTCTGTAGCTGATCCCCATGTGAGTTGAAGTCCTGCATCAACTATCAGCTATTCTCTGCTCCATGATCAATTTCTTTTTAACATCATTGATTAATTACATTCAGCGACCAGTTGATGGCTACAGCATAACTCTGCTCCATGAGACCCATAAGAAATATTATCACTACAAAGTAAGAATCAGGACTGCAATAAGCACACTTTAACCTATATTTTTCACATTAACATCTGGCAACCTGTGCAGTGTCAAAGCTGTGCCGATTTTACCAAGTCAACCAATATGAGAGGACCTTCTGGTGATGACTGCATTGAGAGAAAAGGTCTAGATGACCCATGTCATAATTCTAACTGTCACTGGCATAGGTATGGTTATGCACTTCATTGCAATATTTGGCGTTTCTTGTCTAGTCTGTAAAAAATAAGAGTACAACTCTTTGATTGCAGAAATCTAAGATAATAGTGAAACTTTTCAGCAAAGATCATTGCCTTGATTCCAACAATGACAGGCATACATCAGCACACGTTTGAATTATGGTTTATACATGCAATTAAGCCATTGCTGATGTACAATTTAGGGGCACAGATAGTTAAGTTCAAATTTGGTAGTTGTCAAACCATTTTTTAAGTCACGTATTCAAAAAGGAAGTTGATGTGTTCTTTAAAAAAGAAGCTTGTGGGTTTGGATGTATAGCAGGTATGCCATCAGAACTTAGTTGGATATCAATGGATCTGAAGTCATGGTCTCTCCGGATTTTGTTATGAAAGAGAAGCAACATGATTGAGCTGATGACATATATGAAGTTTTTGGTTTAAGTCTAATAATTTCAGCTGTAGTAATTATAATAGATTAGCAAATGTGTCCATGCGTTGCAACGGAACATATAACTTGTTGCGCGGTCACATGAGCGATTTGCGGCTTGAAGGTTTATTCATTGACTGTCATCTGTTCCAATCGTTGCTTGACACGTGGATTGCATTTTGTACTGTCGCTGGACGCACATTGTTCTAACTCGGCGTCACATACGGGAGAGGGAGGGTCATGAGGGCATTATGGGAAGTAAAAAAATACGGACAGAAGAATCACTTCTCTCTTTAATATTAGGTATAGATATGCCAATTTAACTACATATTTTGTGCCTTATTCATATTCAACTCCAAAGATTATATTTGGATTACTCCAAATCCGAAGTATAATAACTCTTTGGATAGAACATCTTACCAAATGAGCACGTGTTGGATTCATGCTTTGAATGTTTAAGACTATCCAGATTAATGTATTTGGATGTTTGGTTGTAGACACAAGCAGCGGTGCTCGGGTAATTATTGTAGAGTTCAAGAATCATCACCAGGAGGTCTAGAACTAAAATGTTCGGAAGGTAATTAACTAAAGACCTACCAGTTCAAATTATATATTATATTATAAAGTAGACCATTTTCTTTCTACAAATGCCTGGGGATGGCTCTCTAATGCGGAGTCTGCAGACACATCTAGTATGCTACATGTACCTTGTACAGAGTTATGAGATTGCTCATTGTTCTTGATAATCTCAGCTGTAGAAGCATTCAATGAGGTCAAGGTCGAAGAACCTGCCTGTACAAGTTGGCACCCCACACATACATCAAATAAGAGCAGAAGAAGCAATAGAAACAAGCGGGAAGATGCCTCTACGGAGTTCCTTCATGTTGCTGATAATGCAGTTGGCTGTTCAGGACTGGATTCCTCTTCAAAAGACGGGTCTAATAAGAAAATCAAATTTTCAAAGGATGTTAGCTCTGACCTTCGAAGGACAGAAACTGTTCAGGAAGCACCAAAACGCCCTAGAACAGCTGTACTAGATAACCAAGAATGCAGCAGACGGAAGAAAAGGAAACAAAGCAAGCGGTATGGTTCCTACTCGGTAATAATTGAATGGTTGAATTACTATTGTCTTAGTGAGTCGGATGAAGATGAGGTGCCATTGATCAATAAGCGAACAGAAAGAAGGCGCCGGCAAATATTACATGAAATGTCTCTAGCCAGGGAATCCAACGATGTTGTTGAGTTTGGCAGCTCAACTTCTCATACGGTTGGTTCTTGCGCACTAGCTCCCAAGGACAATGGCAAACTTGAAATTGTGCCAGCTTCTCAACCTGAAGAAAGATCCTGCTCAATTAATCCTGTGGCTAGCAACGGAGTTGCTGGAAATCAAACTGGTCATGAACCTATGTCTTCTCCAATGGATTCACCAATTAGAGGTGAAATTGTTGACATTTCAGATGGTTGAGTGCAAGAGTTCCGCGTTAGTTCCTTGTTACTGGAGCCTGGATGAAAGATTATCCACTGTAATGGCTGTAAAGACTGGTTTTCCTGTGCACCTTGCAACTGCTAGACATGCGCAGACTGCCAAGCCGTCGCCTTTGTATGAGTTTTTTTTTGCCCCTTCATCTACGCCTTTGTATATAAGCTTATTTGTTCCCTCCTGCATTTTTGCCACTTTTTCCTAGCTGTGGATTGTTTCTCCCAGGTTAACCCATATCCGTTTGAAACGCTTGTCTATAAAAGACTAAAACTTTACTACTACTACCATCTGATGTTCTATGATTTTTTTTTAAAAAAAATGTTTTAGAAAACTTATGTTTTAGCTCTTGGACAATAGATTGGGCTTATATCAGCTCGAGATTAGTAAGGTTCACCTTCAGTACATACTAGGTAAGTTCTCTTGAGCAATAATATATTTTTAGACGGAGGGAGTAACATTTGCCCATCCTTGCCCTATTCAACTTTCGTTTTAGCATAAAATGTTTGTTGGATATATGCCCTTCTCAGCCGCATGTTTGCAGCAAAACACTAATATCTGTTGCCATACTTGCCAATCTCAGCTGCCTGTTCGCAGCACCGATCCCCTTCTAAGTCTACGGCGGCGCAGGTGCAGCATTGGTCTCCTACATGTAACTATATAAAGTGTTACATCGTTTTGGATCCGGCGGCGCGGGTGCAGCATTGGTCACATAGTGATACTTCGTTTTGGATCTATTGCAACGCCCCCGGATTTGGCTAGTTTTCTTTCTAAAATAGCGCAACATACAACGGGGCAAAATAGTACCCTTTTTAAGCCCGTATAAATGCGTTATGCGTGTGATGAGGTCTACTATATGAGAGCACCTGTATAGTTTAATCTCAATACATTCTCGGCTCAAAATTAGCATTACCCAATCATGTGCCTTCCAGAAGTACAAAAATGTAATGAACACCATCGTGGTGAACATTTTAAAAATGTTAAGGGTAAAAGGCTTGTTTCTCATTTTGAACTCCTCGACCTTTTCTTTCGTGATCTCAACTTTGGTTTATTCTCACCACCAGCACTCCCTGTTGCCTTGCGCTTCCGCTTCGCAGTTGTTGCATCAGCATCCCCACCCATTAGATGTTCATAGTCCTCCAGGCTTGCAAATGGAGACGACCCACTCTTCACACCACGTTTATGCTTCCTCCCTGCCCCCTTTTTCTCTGCATAAGAGCCACCACCCTTACCAGCATCAACCACCTCGTCATCACTTAAGTTGCCATCTGAATCGCCTGCACTCTCAAGGGCTTCAGCATCTAAGCCCGCAAGACTAGAAATGTCATCGTCATCTTCTGATCCTTCGTCCCTAGATGCAGCATCATCTGAAATGTCATCCAATTCCACATCACTATCATCTCTAAGTAAATCCTTTTCCTCTTCAAATGCATTTGAGTCAAGGTCATCATAGTCATATTCTCCGTCATCTGTCAACCCATCTCCCAGATCCAGAATCTCATCTCCACTCTCGTCACTAGCATCATCAGCGTTAATGTCAGCTAAGAGTCCCCTCGCATCTTCATCAAGAACTGAGTCCTTCCGCTTCGCCTTAGCTTTAACAGGGCCAGTCTTGTTCAAATAGAAACGGTGGAAAACAATATCTTCAGGAGGCACTTCATTTTCTGCCAATTCTAGAAGCTCTTCTCCGATGAGATGATGATTCAGGTTAAGCTGAAGACAAAGGCATAGGTCAGCAAGGGATAAAAAAAATGTGTTTGACAGCATTCAGTATTTAAGACAATCTACACACATTTATTCAAATTTTGAAACCAAAATTTTAGGGGCTCTTGCATTTTTACCCCTATTTTGTATCGAAATTGTGATTTTGTCCCTGTTTTTTTGACTTTGTGAATTTACCCCTGTGATTTCAAAACGAAGCACCAGTTTGCCCCTACTCCGTCATCCTCCCCTAACGGTGTTAAATTTTGTATAAAAAGACAGAAATGCCCATGTGATTCTACCCTTGTTTGTTATGCCTATTTGTGATTGTACCCCCGATTTGCAATTAGACTTTTTTATTGTATGTTGACACAAATGATTAAATTTGGCCAAATATATTTTTGGCACAACTAGCAATTATTTCAACTCTGATTTAATATTGAAAAAAACATCAAAATTTTGGCAGCAATGGCATCTTAGCTCCAGGGCCTCCCTCTTCACCCCCTTGTGTGCGAACCTAGCACATAGCATTTTCCCTGTGGCTTAGAGTCTGACGCGTGTGGCCAGTCAGAGGTCAGAGCTGACCGGCACTGTGCCTGTGCACCGATCTATAGACCTATCCTCTTTCTCCCTTTGGTCTACGAAGACCGGGTCTACAGAGAGAGAAAGAGAGGGGGTGGGTCTCTGTACCAATGACAGGCGGGACCCGTAAGGTGAGGTGTCGCCCGTCCATTGGCCAAGGCGACGTGGCCTAGGGCGAACGGCCTCGGTCCGTCCTCATCCCCCTGTTGGCTCGGTTGCGGGAGAGGCAGAGAGAAAGTGTGAGAGGGAGAGGAAAGGGAGAGAGGAGGGAGCAAGGCAGAGAGAGCGAGCGGAACAGCTGTGCGCCGGCGTCGGTCCGGTGGGATGGAGCAAAGAGGGAGAGAGGGTAGAGCAGAGGAAGAGCGCAGCGACGGCGGCGGCTTCGGCGAGGGCGGAGAAGGAGAGCGAGCATGCAAAGCGGTGGCGAGAGGCGAGAGAGAGAGGGGAGCTGCGCAAGGCTGACTCAAGAACAGCCATAGCGCCGCCCATGCCATGCCATGCGCCACCAATGGCACTGCCCCGCGCGTTCGCTCAGACGGCACGCTTGCCCTACCAGCCCTGGGCCCCCGACGCTGTCAGCCCCACCTGCAAGACCTGCTTTGCCACGCCCGCCAATGAAGGCCACAAGACTCACGCCGTCTTACCCGCCCGGCTATGCAATGACGCCGCCAATGACTTGCCACCATGCCATGCAAGCTTCAGACTGCAAGAACGCTTCTTGCACATTGCTTGCCATCGCCGCCATGCCATCACCACATTGCGCCATGAGCCCAGCCTCCGCCGGCCGTGCCTCCCCCGTCGATGTCGCGCGCCCTGCCCAATAGGCACCGTGGACACGGTGCGGATGGGATAACTGTGATAAGGGCATTTCAGTCATTTCGCATCTGATTTTATGTGTTTTATTTTTTTAAATCGTTTAATTAGCCTCTAAATAACGGACATCCAAACTAGGGGCAAACTGCTCCTTCGTTTCAAAATAACAGGAGTAAAATCACAAAGTTGAAAAAAAAATAAGGGTAAAATCACAATTGAACTTCTGGACAGGGGCAAAAACACCGTTTTCCCAAAATTTTAAGTCGAAGTTTTGAGCATATCTTGTCAAAAGCATCAAGTGTGATTGGAGAGAATAGTGAACAGGTCATCTGTAATCCAGATGTAGAGAAACAGCTCTAAGAGTCAACAAAGAGAATCCAAGTAAAAAGGGCTAACCTTTTTAGCTGGGGCAATTTGTGATCCACCATGCCATCTTCCTTCAGCTATGCGGTTCCCTTTTGGTTTCTTTTCCATGAATTTGTCAAGGAAAGCAGGAAGTGATAGGTCTGTCAGTGGATCACCACTATAAACAATATTGTTGCCAGATAGCAATGTTCTGGCCATAGTAGAAACTGAAGGGTGCACATGTGAAGCCAATACTGTTAGCTCCCACCAACTGACACGATCTGCATTGCTGACAAAGCAAAAGGTACATATGTTCAACCAACTCTTGCATTTTTTGTAACAAACATGAAGAAAAACAACAAAATACACTACGAAACAGAAATAGTTCATAAAACAGAAGAGGCCGACTCAATTCATCCAATAACAAAAAAAATGCTTTATGCATGCATACCCATATTTTTAAACAGGGTGGGGGGGTACTTGTGAATAACAATCACATATTTCAAGCCTCAACAAAATAAAGAACTAATATTTAAATTTAGGATCCATGCACAAAAATGAGATTAAATAGACAATACCAGTAAGAAGGCTCTCTGTGTCGTGGATCATATGATGCATGTTGTCTGGACGCGTCAATTGATGCATTGTTCTCATCTACCAATTTTACTTGTTTTACACTATCAATTCCACCAGCAGCATCAAGGTTGTGTTTCTCATGAGCAGCTACTTTTTCATTATGTTTATCTAGCACTGCTGGGGCAATAGAAGAGTCCTCGGGACTCTCTAAAATGTCTTCAAAGTGTTCATCACCATCATCAACAGATTCATTCTGAAGCACAATCCCCCTGAAGATTTAGATGAAAATTATATCATCATGAAAGATAAATGACATGTTTTGATTAAAACGACTAGTCACATACCATAATGGCGACTTTGCCTTAAGAACTTCTGACAGAATGAAAAGGCATCCACAAGCATATTGAGGAGGCCGTTGAAGAGCCACCTGCCAAAAGCAATTACATAAGTAATGGTAAAAATATCTAAATATGTAATAAAAATAGCATCGGTAATATTAGAATATTCAGTGTCTGTTATTTGTCTTATTCTATGGTTTCATTGACACCTAGAACTAAACTGCTCTCAACTGTACTTTAACACCCGTGATGGAGAGCGCACTGCTTGACTGACAAGTATGTTCAACAACCATGGAACCCAGGTGGAGGGTCCAGAGCAAGAACGAGCAAAACATGAAAATTGATCTCAAACTACTTTTCCTATTCATCCTCTTCAGTAAATTCTTCTCATATCATGGTAAATTCTTCTGGACTGTGGCTTTGGAAAAGATAATTCTCTATAGCTGTCACCTGTTATACTAGCTTTTGGATTAGGTTTGATGTGGTGAGGTCTTGGGGTCCATAATACCGTTAGTGACAACTGCTCAATCACAGAAGCATCACGATACCAGATTGTGTATTCTAGTTGCAGAGGTAGCCTTAGGTTCTGACAATTGACTGCTAGAATCATATGGTTTGTTTGTTTGTTTCAGA